GACCCCGCCCTGCGCGGCGCTGCAGCTCAGGTTGCTGCGGACACCCATCAAGGCCCGCCCCCCCGCCCCCCCCCGAGCTCAGTGGGGATGTGGCGGCCAGCAGCTGGCTACGTTAAGAGTGACAGCATGTGGCAGCACTGAAGATGTTACCTAGCCAGGCAACAAAGCGTTTGCAGGAAAACAACAAAGCTCAGAGAACCCCAAGGACTCCAGAGTGAAAATGTGCCTCAGTGTCCCTGTGTTGCTTAGCCCCTTTTTCCTGGGGAGAGTAGACCCCCCCTCTCCCCCAGTTGCAGACCTAATTGTTCCCTTCAGCCCCGGCACTTTCATCCCAGCCAAATCTCCAGGCCTGTGTTAGGAGACCTTGCCTCCCATTGATTCCCTTGCTCTTCCTTTCTTTAGAGTGAGCCAGACCTGGAAAAGGGTCTGGAGATGAGGAAGTGGGTCCTGTCGGGCATCCTGGCCAGCGAGGAAACCTACTTAAGTCACCTTGAGGCTCTCTTGCTGGTAAGGGCACCAGGGAATGGGTGAGTGCGTGGGTGAGAGGGAGGGAGATTTTATTCTCCGGGTAAGCTGAAGATGTTCTGGACCTGGGGAGGAATAATCAAGTGGGTCCTTCTCCCCAGGATAACAACATGGAGCAGTTCTTTGGAAAGTTCTCCTGCTGAAGCTCCATTCAGTGGTATGGGAGCTGAGCAAGAACTTTGCTGTGTTGTTCTGCAGCTTCTGCTCATTCTCTAATGGCTTAAGCCATTTCTAGCCGATGGTGCTGTGGGGTGGGGTGGCGTGAGACTCTTGACGTTGCTCTTGTGCCTCCAGTAGGAAGGGTTGAGTGGATTATCGCGCTGTCCCCTAAGAGCTCCAGCATTTCCTCAAGGGTAGATGTTTGAAGAAGCAGAACCGATGCCCAGGAAGATGCCGGTGCAGATAGCAGCCAAGTCTGTGGTCTTTGATTTTTCAGCCCATGAAGCCTTTGAAAGCGGCTGCCACCACCTCCCAGCCAGTCCTGACGAGCCAGCAGATTGAGACCATCTTCTTCAAAGTGCCTGAGCTCTACGAAATCCACAAGGAGTTCTATGATGGGCTTTTCCCACGTGTTCATCAGTGGAGCCACCAGCAACGGGTGGGGGACCTCTTCCAGAAGCTGGTAAGTAGAACATCTCTGGGTGGCCTCTTGCCTCCAGCTTCTGAGTCCAGCTTGAGGGCTCCCCATTATCCTTTACCACCATGTTTCTGGGTATGTGCAGTGTGGGAAGAGGGTGGCCGCCGTTGGAAACCAGCTGGGGGAAAGGAAGCCACCAGGTAGCACGCTGCAGGCTGCTCCCTGTCTAGTGGGCGGAGCCAGTACAGATGCCACCCTGGTGGCATCCCAGTGTTGGGCCTCCCTCCTTCTCAGGCCTAAAGCGTTCCCTGGATGGCTCCGGGCAGCCTTCCTCGTAGGATGTCCCCACTTCCCTGAAGGAAGAGCAGGAGGCGGACGTGTGTCCAGTTTTGGACCTTTACGACTGTCGCGTCTGCCTGTTCCCCAGCGAGCTTAGGGTGGAGCAAGAGAAGAGGCCATTTGGCTGAGAAGAGGGGCCATCTTTCCCCAGGACGTCAAAGTCAGTGGGGCCGGGCTGGGCACGTCTCCCACCTCTGGCTCGGCCCTCGGCGGGCATCCTGCCAGTTGCGGGGCAGAGGCTCATCCCGACATGTCCTCTGCTTCCCCCAGATCTCCAGCCGGCCTCCTGAGCAGGCACTGCTGGCGGCCATCTCTCTCCCCCCGCCTTTCCGCTCCAGGCTTGGTCTCATTCCGCGTTTGCCCCCCCGCAGGCCAGCCAGCTGGGAGTGTACCGGGCCTTCGTGGATAACTACGAGGTTGCCATGGAGATGGCCGAGAAGTGTTGCCAAGCCAACGCGCAGTTTGCAGAAATCTCGGAGGTGAGCAAGGCTGCGCGATGCGCGCAGGGTGCGCAGAGCCCTCGCGTCTTCCTGCGTGATGGCTGACGGTTCCCGGTGGGGGTTGGGGTCCTCCTAGGGATCTGATGAGACTCTCCTGCCCCCCAGTGGGCTAAGCCCATGACAGAACTGGTACTGCAAGTGCTGTGGGTCTCTCAGCTGCGAGGACGGAGATTGGAGAGAAGCCCAGGGGGGAGGGTGGCTTCCCCTGGGTTACGGCACCCCAGGGATCCTCCACAGAAACTGACTGACTTGAGGGCTCTCCTTGGAACCTGCAAAGCCTTGCCTGAATTTTGGCTCGCCCCAACTCAAGTCTGGGCTATGGGAGGGGAGCCCCATTCAGTCGATGGAGTCACTTCCTTCCCTAGTAAATATTCTTACGATTGGCTTTGAAGAATTCCTTCCAGTGTGGCTTTTATCAGGGAAATAATTTCCCTCCAAGCAGAACCCTTCCCCACATGACCCTCAGTGTGAGGTAGCAAAGGACCATTTCCCTCCAGAAATACCTCTCGGCTGGATTTGAACTGCCTCCCTCTGAAGGACACTTGGGAGCAGGTGGAGGTCCGCCACTACCAACTCTTTCGTTGGCCTTCAACGATTGGCCCTTAAGGGTGGAGGTTCATAGGTGTCCCTAATTTGATGAAATTCCAGCCAGTTCTGCCTGAGATACTCATCAAGCCCCCAAAGAACTGTGTTCTTCCAAAAGGAAGGGGAGAACCTGCATAGAGGTGGTGGCAACCATTATGACAAGGGGGTGTAACCACTGAGCTAGTGCTTCCTGTGCTGAAGATAATGTGCCTCGTCTGGATTTGGTGTGCAAACCAGGGAACGTCTGTGGCCAGATAAGGAACAGCTGGCAGGCCCGTGAGGCACGCTGAAGGAAATTAAGCTGGAGTCTTGCCTTGCTCATCTTTTGCAGAATCTCAGAGCTAGAGGCTCCAAGGACACAAGAGACCAGACAACAAAAAACTCTTTGGAAAGTAAGTAGCGTGGCGCACCAGCGGATCTGAGACTCGTTGCTCTCTGAACAATAACGACCTGCCCCCCTGGAAGGAGTTCCATATGGTGCGGAGGGTTTCTCTGGCTTTTTTGTTCTAGAGGGACTTGTATAACCAACGCTTGGTTGGTTGGTTGGTTGGTTGGTCCTTTTTGAGCAGCAGTGCTGCTTGTTGGAGTGAAGTACTTGGGTTCACAGCGAAAGGGGGACTCTGCATGCTGTAGCAGTCCATAGTGCCTGGGGTGGGGTGGGGTGGGGTGGGGTGGGAAGGGCTTGACCAACTGTGGGGGAGTCGCACAGGCAAATTGCAAAGGATTGTGGCAGACATATTGTCAGAGAAGGGATTTTCCCATGATGAACCTTCTGCTTAGCACTCCCTTTTCTTCCTTGTTTGGATTATTTTGTTTTCCAAAGAATTACATTGCCATACAGCCTCCCATTTTCCTTTATTTTGCCACAGCTCTCCTCTACAAGCCGGTGGATCGGGTCACACGCAGTACACTTGTACTCCACGTAAGTTGCCATGAATATTAACACTCTTGCCTTTTCTACTGGAAATTGGAGATGCGTCTTTGGTTTTAGAGAAGTCAGTGAACAAGTGAGAAATAACACAAAGGATGAAAAGAGTTACCAAAATATACAACAAAATATGACATCTTTTCCCATCGGCTGGGGACCGATGGGAAAAGCAAAGCACAGGGGTTCTGTTCACCTAACGCGCTCTGTGAACCGTGTTGTGGCTGAACTGGATGGGCTGCATCAGACAGGATTGTGAAATCGTGGCTGGGTTCCCACAGTACACTGAATCACATCCTTGATGCTTAGTCTGGCTGGGCAGGAGGGTGGGCAGGCAAGACAGACCAGTAGAAGAAGTCTGGTGATCGCTGGAGGACCCATAAGGACAGCGCTTGCAGGGAAAGGGATTGATTTAAGTGCTTGGGGAATAAGGGTGTCTGTTCTTCTGCGGCTGCTGCTCCATGCAGAGCCACCTACACTTTGCCAGAAATCCACTCACTGAGCATCCCAGCGGAGCTCTTTCTTCGTCTCTGGGCTGAGAGGAAGCAAGACCTCAGCACAAGCCTAGCTCTGGGGTACTGGAGGCACCAGCAGCTGGAAGCCCAGATACAGCTGTTGGGGAGAGTAGAATTCCAGAGCGTAGGAAAAAACCTCCTAATGGACAGAGGCTCTGAAATCAGTGACCAGCGAGAGGGAAGTCAGTGGCTGTGTTCAAGCAGAGCCTGGGCAACCATCTGTCTCGGAGGCCCGATGGAGGAGCTTGGATATGGCGGTTCCTTCCACCTCTGTCGGTTGGTCCTGAGCTTTGAATTAGAGACTCGTGCCCAGCTGCCAGGCCTAGAAAGTCCGTTGGAAGTGAAGTGGACTGCTGGTGCTGTGCTCTGAGTATCTTTGTTCTCCCCTCCCTCTTAACAAGCAGGATTTACTGAAGCACACCCCATCAAGTCACCCCGACTGTCTGCTCCTGCAGGATGCACTCCGCATCTCCCAGAACTTCCTGTCTAGCATCAATGAAGAGATCACCCCCAGGAGGCAATCCATGACTGTCCAGAAAGGGGAGGTGAGTGCCCCAGGTGGCTTCTGGCGCCTCCTGGCCAAACTAGGTGGGCCTTTCGCCTGGCTAGCAGGACTTCTCTTAAGGGGTGGCTGTTTGCAGCCTGAAAGAGTGCTGGCCAGGTACAAGCAGTGCTGGAACAAAAGTCCGACACGTCCCTCTTCCAGGCCAGCTGCCATTTCTATGCCCAGCTTTGGCTCTCTGTTCAGATGGCAGAGGTGGGATAGCATCTATCCCTTCTTGCCAATGAGACACTGCATGTTCAGACCCCTAAAGGACAGGGAGGTCCTCTGGCAGTTCTTGGGGTAGGGGCATCCTCTTGGCCTGGGAAGTCCTGGTGGGGGACATGCACCAGCCTGACTCCAGTGCTGGAATGCAGAGATCCAGGTGCCCGGCTTAGCTCCGCTACAGAGGCCCTGGCGAGGCCCCGTTTTCCTCTTTGCAGGTGGAAGAGAGGAAGAGGAGGAAGGGAGCGGTTTCTCTGCAAAGGGCAGTCAGTGATGAAATGTTGGGTGCAGCTGATGCAGGCAGCTGGAGCAGACAGTGTTTCTCTGTTAGCCTATTCATGTTCCCTGCAGTGGGTCCCCTCCAGGCCATGCGTTCGAGCCCAGAAACCCTTGAGAAGCATCTCCCTGCCAGGAGTGCAAGACATCTAAAGCGAGAGGAGGCCACTTCCCCCAGGGAGGCTGTTTTTGTCCATGCTGCTGAGAAGGGCAGAATCTTTCCCTGGCAAGCTTTGCTCTGGAGCCTGCCTCCTCTTCCCCACCATTCTGATGGGGGGGGGTGCGTGTGCGCCTGCACATGTGTTGCTCTTCAGGCATGGTGATGGGCTTCTTGCTTTCTGGCCAGCTGTGCTCATGCAGCTGGCCTCCTGCTTATTTGCCTTGGCAGAGACCCACAGACTGTGGGGTGGGGGAGCAGGTAGGACCCCTGCGCCTTTCTCCTGTAAGCCTCCTGCACTGTTGTTGCAGTCCCTTCTGCCAAGTGGTCCGAGATTTGGGGGCTGGCAGTGGGATGTTGGAAAATGTATTAGAGAGGATCAGTTGCACCTATGGAATATTTACCAACAGAAGAGGACAGCTCTGATTCCCTGGGCACGTCAAGAAACATTTTATCAGGGAAACACTTAATACTTCACAATTTTTAAAAATCGTGTGCGTTGAGATAAGTTTTTTGCTGTTATTTTTCTTTGATAAAAAGTTTGTTTATGGATTTATGGACTTATATTTTTATTTATTTTATTTGTCAAATTTATACGCCGCCTATCTCCCTGTACAAGTGACTCTATGCGGCTTACAAGTAAAAAAGCGATAAAAAGCAATAAAAATCTTTACAAAAATATTCAAAGATAAAAGGCGGAGAGAGCGTCTTCAAGCCACCAACCACCCCCAGTGCTGCAAACCCCCACTGGGTCCCCATGCTAGTTGGCAGAGCCAGGTCTTCATGCTCTTCCAGAAGGCCAGAAGAGTGGGGGCCAATGTCACCTCAGGGGGCAAGATGTTCCAGAGGGTGGGGCTGACAGGGCCCATAACATTCCCTTCCTGCCAGACAGGGCGAGATGGGTCAATGTAACCTGGGCGAGACAGTTCCTCAGGTAACCTGGGCCCATGCCATTAAGGGGTCATAACCGACGTCTTGAATTGGACCCAGACCGGCACCCAGTGCAGCTCACGCAGCAGAGATGTTACATGCACAGCCCTAGAGGCGCCCATAGCTGTCCATGCCGCTTCATTCTGCATCAGATGCAGCTTCCGGATACTTTCCAAGGGTAGCCCCATATAGAGCGCATTGCAGTAGTCCGTGTGGGAGATGACCAGGGCACGAGTGACTGACTGGAGGGACTCCCAATCCAGGAAAGGGCGCAGCTGGTGCACAACATGAAGTTGAGCAAAGGCCCTCCTGGCCACGGCTGCCACCTGCTCCTCGAGCAGGAGCCGTGACTCCAGGAGGACCCCCAGATTACACACTGGGTCTGTCTGGGGCAGTGCCACCCCATCCAGGACCATAGCTGGTAAGGCCCCAGATACGGAAGAGCCCCGAACCCACAGCCACTCCGTCTTACCAGGGTTCAGCTGAAGTCTGTTGTTCCCCATCCAGACCCCCACAGCCTCCAAGCACCATGAAAGAACACCCACAGCATCACTTAATTCATCCGGGATGGAGATGTACAGTTGGGTATCATCCGCACACCGATGATATCTCATCCCATGGTGACAGATGATCTCACCCAGCGGCTTCATGTAGATGGCCTTATATGGCCTCCAGTTCTCAAAAATGCAACTTGGGGTGATGTTGAGCAATAAAAACAAAATTAGAATATCCCCAACAACAAAAACAGACCCCCCCCCCCAAAACAAAATTCTCAAAAGGGATCCAGAGAATTGCTCCAGACATTTCCTCATTTTGTTCAGTCTATGCTTGATCTTAACCAAAAAGCTGAGAGGTCTAAATCAGTTCTGCCCCTGTGGCACTATTGAATCCATCCTTCATACATTAACACTGCTCCTTTTATGATGGGGTCCTCCTCTTTGTTTTGTAGTTTCATGCCTCAGATCAGACTGGCAGAATCTATATTAACATATTTTACCAGACATGAAAACTGTTCTTTGACATAAACGGGCAAAGATATCAGTATCTGCAAACCACTGTCTGGGTTCCATTGAGTAAAACAATGTTTACATTACTGGTATTCAACTATTACTTTATTTTGGTTTGTTTCTTTATGATCTTTGAAATAAATTGGGTTGATTTTGTTTGGGCATTTCCCATTCTGTTACAGTCTTTTTGAGGACGATGTCTAGAATGGACCCAGGCCCTTCTCATCTTGTGATTGCATTACTGGGATTTGCCCTCCGTGGGGCTGCCCTTGAAGACCACTCTCGGAAACTTCAGATGGTCCGAGCGCAGCAGCCTCGATGCTCCCTTGTCAGTCTCAGAACTGCCATATTACACCACAGCTGTGGGAGTTGCGCTGGTCACTCATGTGTTTCCAAGTGCAATTTGAGGTGCAGTCTGCCCTGTAAAGACCTATATAGTTCAAGGCCTGGATATTTCCACCTAAATGCTGCCCAGACAACCAGGCAGGGCATACTGAAGGTCCCTTCCTATTGCAAGATGTGTTGGGAGGGGGTTCAGTTATTCTGCAGCTTTCTGCTGTCCCTTTTTCTTTTAATAATTCTAAGTTGGCCTGGTCTGCAAACATGGTACCATTACTGTTGTTGTTTAGTCGTTAAGTCGTGTCCGACTCTTCGTGACCCCATGAACCATATTGCGCCAGGCCTTCCTGTCCTTCACTGCC